TGAATCTAACTATTTAATATGTCTTTTGCGGTATGATCGGGCGTTTATTAGGTTTGAGGATGAAAGTTTTTAAGAAAGATCTTATCACAAGATTCCTTTTTATAGGTCTCCTACCTTGTTTACTCTTTATTTAAGCTAATTGATACACATGGTACTTCTATAGCTGTTGTATCACGGTGGGTATCTTTAACCTTTTCAGCATGCAGTAAAAAGCGACCTAGTATAAAGTCATCGTTTGTGAGATAAGACTAGTTATTTTTAGGGATGCCGGAAGATATAGATGGACTGATTCAGGTCAAAGCGGAGGAACTGCTTTTTATTACACCAGTCGAATCGGAAGTTTCCGACGAAAGCGATGAAGGCGTTCAGGACAGAAAAGAGGTTTTGGGTCTGAGTTCTGAGTTCAATGAATTGGAAAGCAGCGGAAGAAAAGAAGATAGGTTAGTTTTTGTCTTGAAACATTTACTTCTACAAATCTTTCTGTTTTGATGAAGGACGGTGTTCCACATAAATGACCGCAGTGATCAATTAAAAGACTAGGTGTTCGTTTTCAACATTAATAGTTTTGTTGTTTAACAGTTGCGTATTGCTTTAATGCGTTTTTGGTTGTCTGTGTTGAAACACTAATTCTAATAGTTAAACTCTTCCATGCTTAATTATTGATTCAAAAGGAGACTTAAAAAATGTTGAAATTTATTATTTTTATGATTGTATGGAAGTGCAAATTGAAATTTGGAGGTAGTTTGCTTTGTTTTTTTAGTCTTATCTATGGACTTAAATTTTGTTGCTATTGCAGTTAAAAACAGAAATTGAAAGGTTTATTTAAATTTATCTTACCTATTTGTGTTAAAGATATATTTTTAATCACTGTTTGTAATATTGTAGGGTTGATGATGACTTAGAAAAACAGCATTTTGGGAACCAAGATATAGGAGGCAGCATGAAACCCGCACTCCCATATACTGGACACAGTTCTTCTGGAGGAAACTCAAAAACTTCTGGCATGCAAGTGAAACCAGCTGCCAAGAAACTTAGCAAGTTTTACCGGAAGCAGAAGGACCTGTTGGAGAATTTCAAAATTGATAACGGGATAATTGAAGTAAGCACTTGGGTGCCTATGCTTTGAGGATGGATCGTTCTCAAAAGTGTGTGACAACTTGAGGAGTGCGGAATGATTAGTAGAAACCTTTAATTATTTTTATGATTGTATGGAAATTGAATTCATGTTGATTTAAAACAAGTGAAGTTTTCAAGTGAAAAAGGTGTAGACTGACAACTTGAAGCGACATTGTAGGGCTTGGTTATTTGGTCCTGCGTTATAATGAGATTCAGACGTTCTGGAAAATTATGACTAAGTTTTGTTTTGACTTCTTCTACTTACTGCCTGTCCCTAGCAGAATTTATTACTGAAGAATTTTTTAGAGGGTTTTTTATACCGTAGTTCTAAGAAATATAATCTTAAATATTTAATGGCCTAGTTTTTCAATTTTAAACTACGAAAGCGGCTAGCTAACAGGCTTTTTGTCGTTCTTCTCAAAGTTTAATATGGATAGAAAAATGACTATTCGAAATACTAATGAAGGATAAAAAAAAATTGTAACTGCGAAAATCAGAGTACCGAGTCGGTATCTCCATTGACTTTCGGTTATTTTATTTTTCGTCTTTAAAAAATGCAGAAGCTGTATCTTTTTTTGATAGAAGAACGTTCATTTTTATCATTTGAGTAGCGTTCAAAATTTTAGAAAAATCAAGTCGCAGGTATGGATTTATTTTTTGAAGAATTTGAATTTTAAATCATTTTTTTGGCAAGAGGCGATTTTGACACTTTTTTAATTCTCGGAGGTCGAATTGCCGAAAATTAAAATGTGAATTTCTAAACAATGAAGTTCCGGCTGATACGTTATAGGAATGCTGAGGGCGTAGAGGGTCTACAGGAGAAGGTATAGAGTGCTTATTTTTTGGGTAGCATGGGTAGGTTTCGTTTGAGTATTTCTTTGGATATATTTTTTGTTAGGGTTTTAGTTCTGCAGTTAAAGAGTAGAGAATTTGTAGCTGTCAAACGATAATGATTAGGTTGCACAGGAAGCAAAAGGTATTTAGGAAATTACGCACAAATTTTCTTCGACTTTTCCAAGTGCACTGTTTTAAGTGTTCTGAAACATCACTACTTTTCCAAATTGTCTATGCTGATGACGAGGATTTCACCTCTGTCGCAAAAAGGGTAAATTCACCTGTAGAGTCTCATTATAAGACAGTTTGCATAGAAGGTCTTTAAGAAATACGGGTTTTGCGGAACAAGTTGAACTATATTACTTTTGGAACACATCGAGGCAGACCTAAAGCAAATTGTAGGTTGCTTAATATGGATCACTTGCTTCTAAGGTGAGGCCGATTGAAGGTGTGTCTGCATGTTACAAGACAATTTTTAAAGAGAAATAGACTTGGATTTGTAATTTTGTTTCATTGTTAAAAAACTTTTTGTTAATTTGGAAAAAACTGGTACGACAGTGCTTTGTGTTAATGTACTGTTCTGATATTGAAGACCATGAGGGTTTATTTCCACTTTATTCAAATGTAAGTGTTACGATGACTTAATTTCCCAGACTTATATCGGCATTGCTTCTGTTTTGCAAAAAGTATTTTGTTAAATCTCTAGCTTTTTAACAAAACACGGCCACATACGTTTGATCGAAGGAAAGGGACCTGGTTTGGTGATAAGATTGACGTTTACTGCATCCGTCTTAATTCTCAGCGATGAGTAGCTTAAAAAGTCCGTGAGTGGTTTCTGGAAATCTAATCGTCATTGGGAGTTCGTGGTAAAAAGAGTTCTTATTTTTTTGAGAGACATTAAAGTGCTTGCAGGAGGTATGGATGTCGTGATTTGACACCTTGAAAGTACGGTTATTTGGGAGTACGTTGTAAATTTGCATTTGTAGTTCATTTTTTGTCAGTGTAGAGAGTTCTCGAAGTTTTAATAACACAGTTTTGCGAAGGCAAAAATAGCCTACTTTTCTCAAAATTTTGCCGCGCTTCAGTGTTTTTAGAGTTTTAATTTCGTTTTTCAGCTGATAAAAATTTATACTTTTAAAAGTGAAGTAGATGGATACTAAGCATCGCGATAGTATCGGAAGATGGTTTGGAATTTTTAGGTTTTTCTTGGTTATGCTATTTAATCTAATTTGTTTTTTGATTGTTACTTTTCAGTGTTGACCCTTTATATACACAGATTTAGGATTTTCAAAGAAAGCGGCAGAAAGCGCTGTCGTTGTCGTCTGAGGAAGATAAGGACTGTAAAAAATTGGTGGAGCAAAATAAGATGAAGCCGCATGCTAGAGGCTGCACCGAACTTCCTGAAGAGAGGTTTTGGTTTTCAAATTTTTTGAGCTACAGAATTAAGACTTATTTTGAAGGCAAGTTACGCTTCAAAGAAATACAAGGGCTAATGTATAAAAATACGCAGATTCGGCCAGATTTTCTATCCGAGATGAAGGAAGGAAGATTTGAGACTTATTAATGTTAATTTAGTGTACTAAGCAATAAAAGATCTTTGTGTTGCTGCGCAGTGAAATAAAGGTCCTGCTTGAGGATACCGGTCTCTATGGCGGCATTGAAGTTAAGCTTGCGTATTCTTCTACTCCGCTTATTTTGGGAATGCTCTGTACAATATGTTGAAGCGTCGGTATTTCAAGTTTTTGTGTAAGGGGAGGATTTATTAAGGCAGAAGAGCGTTGATTGGTACACGCTTCTCTGCTGTAGGTAATCGGGTTCTTAA